CCATTGCTTTTTAAGCGATTAGTTGACTTTACTTTAATAAAGTGAGTAAACTTGGTACTTTTAAAGTGATTAGTTGGCTTTACTTTAATACAGTGAGTAAACCCATTGCTTTTAAAGTGATTAGTTGACTTTACTTTAATAAAGTGAGTAAACCCATTGCTTTTAAAGTGATTAGTTGACTTTACTTTAATAAAGTGAGTAAACCCATTGCTTTTAAAGTGATTAGTTGACTTTACTTTAATAAAGTGAGTAAACCCATTGCTTTTAAAGTGATTAGTTGGCTCTACTTAAATAAAGTGAGTAAACCCATTGCCTAAAAATTATTAAGTGAATTAAATATGTGCATAATTATAAAAATGAGTTAAGTCAACTTAACTATTCCAAGTTGCAAAGGATTTACCCAATTTTTAAAGTAAACTTAACTTGCTTTTAAAGAAACAGGTTCCCTCACGTTTTAAAGTAAAGTAACTAAGCGTGATTTACAGTGTATATTATTGAAAGAGCACCAGTATTTTACAACATTAAACATTTTTAGGTTAGAATCAATAAGGTCACACTTTATTTTAAGGTATTATTAATAAACAACTTAAACATGTCTTATTTGCTGCTAATTATTTGTTATATTTTGATATAGTTTGATTTAGTTATTGGGTGGGATTAGGAATATAGAAACAGATCATGCCAAATATAAACTAATCCTATTACTAATAGATACTTAGATCTTAATAATAGATACCAGATCTTAATAATAGACAGGTAATGACCCACTAGTTAACAGTGGGAATTTATACCAACAATAATTACATCATTATAACAGAGTAGGAGTGATTTAAAATCATTCATACCATAATATAATCATTTGGTCACCCTTGAATGAGTATACACATATATTTCACACACACACACACACACACACACACACACACACACACACACACACACACACACACACACACACACACACACACACACACACACACACACACACACACACTCCAGAAGACAGATGAAGCTTTAATGGGCTGTCTGTGCTGTAATTTGCAATCTTTATCTTTTCAGTAGAGCCTGCTCTCCAAAGGCTCATGGAACTGTGAATATTGAAGCTCTTTTCATTTACTGCGAGATGAATGAACCACAGCTGAACATTCAGACCGCCACAGACTGGGTCCAAGATCCTCTGAGGAATGAAAAACAGATGTTGAGAGAATATATAATGAGAGCTGATGATCTTAGGCAGACACTTTGCATTGGTTGAGAGGTGTCTTCCTTCACTTCTGCCTTTCACCAAATTGCAGACTGTATGTATTCTTCCATACTGATAATGTAGTTGTGGTCTGAAAAAAGCTTAGATGGTTTAAAGCAGTGTTTCTCAACCACGTTCCTGGCCGACCACCAGCTCTGCACATTTTTCGTGTCTCCTTAACCAAACACACCTGATTCAGATCATCCGCTCATTAGCAGAGACTGAAAGACCTGTAATAGGTGTGACGGACAGAGGAGACATACAAAACCTGGAGTGCCGGTGGTCCTCCTCACGTGGTTGAGAATCACCGGTTGAAAAGGAACACTCCACAGTTTTGGAAATAGGCTCATTTTACAGCACCCTTAGAGATTGAAAATGAGTTTATCGTGAACACTTTTAGCTTAGCTTAGCATAAATCATTGAATCAGATTAGACCATTAGCATTTCACTCAAAAATGACCAAAGAGTTAAGATAATATTCTGTAGGTACATCCTGTAGCTAACTAAAACCTATTAAAAATGAAAAGTTGGACTAAGAACTATACTCTAACTCTTATTCCAGATAAATAATCAATATTAAAATTAACGAAACTCTGGCCATTTTAAGTAAAATGCTAATGGCAACCCAGGCTAATTCTGATTACGTACCCCTGTAAACATTTCTGGAGAGTGCCAAATACATCCAAGTAGCTACGTTTTTTATTTTTTTGTACTTTTTGTTTTCGCGAATCCACCAGAGGGCGCTGTGTACGCTTTTTCAGATCTCAATTTCTCTCGCGAGTGCCATTCATGCCTGTTGTTCTCACGTAATCCACCAGAGGCTGCTGTCGACTGACTGACTGACCGACCAACTGACCCATCCTCCTCTTTTCCAAAACCCAACCAATAGTGTTTCCAAAAGCATTGATTGACCAGATTTTTACCACGCTTTCAGATTTTAACACATTCTCACCCTGTTATTTACTTGTTTGTTTTATTTTTTGGGTTTTATCTTTGTCTCACCTGTTTTTATGGAACCGTTATTTCCCAGACTCAAACCCTATCATCGTGGTCAACTCCGCTCCATGTCTCAAGTACACGGCAAGCCACTGAACAAACTGGTAACAGTGGATAAGTTGTCCATCCAGAGGTAAGCGGTCAGCTGCTAGCGGGAAAAGGAACAGCCTCATACCGCCCCATAGCGTTCATTTTAAAGACAATCTGCAGCCATACATACCTCTGGCTACATAATTAGAGATCTCCAGAAATGTATATAGGGCTCCGTTTTCAGAATGAGCCAATGTTAATCATTAATCATTTTAAATTCTTTTAATCATTTTATTTTCTTGTGTCTTTCATTCTTGTTTATGTAAAGCCCTTTGAATAACCATTGTGTATGAAATGTGCTGTATAAATAAACTTGCCTTGCCTTGCTGGCTAATGCTCATATCCAGTTTAATGATCTATGTTAAGCTAAAAGTGCTCAGCCAGACAGGTAGATCAACTGAATGAGTTCAAAAAATGTAAAACTCAGGTATTTAACTCTGGATGAGTTGTTAAAAAGCCTTTTCTTACTCCTTTTAGTAATCAATACTAATGAAGAGCAAAAACTAACCCAGGCTCATTGTAAATACGTACCCCTGTCTACATTTCTGGAGAGTGTGAAATATGTAGCCAGAATAAATCATTTCTTCTTTAAAATGAACGCTATCAGGCGGTTTGACACTGCCAACAGCTTCTGTTAGTTTTAGCGCTACCAGCTGACCGTTTACTTCTGTATGGACGGCTTTATTAATGTTACCAGTTTGCTCAGTAGCTCAAGTAGTTATCGCTGCAGATCGGAGACCTTCAAGTAGGAGGGATTACACGCAATTAGGTTGGGTGACCTCCAAGTGGGAGGGACTTAAAGCACAAGTAGGCTGGGTTTAAGCGGTGTAGGTGGAGTAGACATTAATAAAACACAACAGGTTTCTGTGAGGATGGGTTTAGGGTTGGGTTTAGGTGTAGACGTTAATAAAACACATTAGGTTACTGTAAGGTTGGGTTTAGGGCTGGGTGTACACATTCATAAAGCTCAATATTGAACTTTAAATAGGGATAAATAAATAAAATCTTAGGCGACGCAGTGGCACAGTAAGTAGTGTCGCCTCACAGCAAGAAGGTTGCTGGTTGCTGGATCATTTGGCGTTTCTATGTGGAGTTTGCATGTTCTCCCTGCGTTCGCATGGGTTTCCTCCGGGTGCTCCGGTTTCCCCCACAAGTCCAAAGACATGCGGTACAGGTGAATTGGGTAAGCTAAATTGGGTAAGCTAAATTGTTCGTAGTGTATGAGTGTGAAAGAGTGTGTGTGGATGTTTCCCAGAGATGGGTTGCGGCTGGAAGGGCATCCACTGCGTAAAAAAAAAAAATGTGCTGGATAACTTGGCGGTTTATTTAGCTGTGGCGACCCCGGATTAATAAAGGGACTAAGCCGAAAAGAAAATTACTGAATGAATAAAAACTCCAGGTTTGCACAGCCCACTTGGACCTCGAAGGCCCACCCACTTGGAGCTGGCTCCGACCTTCATTTATACCCTTCTCCAGTAGCTTGCCGTGTACGTAAGTGGACTTGTGACATGGAACGGAGTTGACCACGATGACGGTGTTTGAGTCTAATGAAGAACGGTTCTAGAAACCAGGTAAAACAAAAACAAAAAATAAATAAATAAATAAACAACAGGCTGAAAATGTGGTGAAATCACGTGGCTGCGATGGCTTTTCTTTTTCTAGATTGCTAATGAAAACACTATCGGTTGGGTTTAGAGAAGGGGGTGGGTGGGTAGGTCAGTCGACAGCAAGTTGGCCTGGTCGGCTGAAGTGAGAGTGCGCCCTCTGGTGGAACCCGCAAGAGGAATTTGTCAACATCAAAAAGTGTACACAGCGACCTCTGGTGCATTTCCAAAAACAAAAACTGCAAGCAGACGTACCTCCGGTTGGGTACGGACCAGGGTAAGTATCCATAATGAGCTTGGGTTGTCAAAAGCATTTAAAGAATACCATTTGATAGTTAGAACTTCCAGATTAGCTTGCTGTTTATTATTACACAATTCACAATGGCTCCAGACAATGTCAGACATTTTTTCGAGGCTTTTGTTTAAACTGCACGTAAAGCATCACACTGAAATATAGTCAGCCATCCATGACAGGACTTTTTTTTTTTTTTTTTGAACTGGTTGTCATTAAATACAAACAGTTTGGTCAACACTTGTGTGATAAAGTACATGATGACGAAAGACACAAGTCATGATGCATAATACCTCTTAGCAAGCTTGCATATCTATGGCACATCACATTTGGCACCATGTTGTGGAATGTTTAGGTGATTTTCTTTGTTTCACAAAGCTTCTGTTTTAAGGAAAGAGCCCTCGTAGTTCAGTCAATGCCGATATAAAGCTGCCATGATTCAGTGCTGTGGTTTTACAAATAATAGATGAGTAACACCAGTTTTAACTGGATTTAAAAGGATCTATAAGGCGTTCTGGTATTATATATCTGCAGTATTTGTCAAGATTAAATACTCTATATTTTTTGCTATTTAAATAGATATATTGATGCATTCTTAAATTAAATTTACTACCACAGAAATATTTGTATAGCAAACTTTTCTTTGGACTGCACCGTACATAAAAAAATAACAGGTCACCATAAATAATAGTACTAACACATTCAGACAATAATAACATCATAGTTTCTTGGTGTCATGATTTCTCTTTAAATAGCTCTTGCGAAGAAGTGCCCAGCAATCAGTTATCGTCTCTGTCACAGTGCATTACTCTGAAGATTCATTCGCGACCAGAGATTTCACAGAAGAGTTCACTCTTCTTCCTCCGGTTTAAGTCTGTCCGGCAGCAGAAACGCTCAGCAAGAGTCAATTCTTGGTCCCTTTGAGTTGTCAATGACGAGAGAAGGACTTACACAACAAAGGAAAGATTGCACAGCTAAGACAGAAAAAGCAGGAGTGTACTAATAAGACAGACACAACACGTCTTGAGTGCTTCTAAGGCAGTGTTTCCCAACCCTGTTCCCGAAGGGACTCCAACATGTTAACCTTTTCCTAATCAAACACACCTGAATCAACTCATCAGAACATTTGTAGAAACTCCAAAACTTGAAGGTTATAGATAAGGGAGACATCCCAAATATGTACTGTTGGTGTGCCTCCAGGAGTAGCGTTGGGAATCACTGTTCTAAGGGTCAAAGTTCACACAAATACAATGCTTCATTGGACACAAGAAGTCAAAGCTAAGTTCCGGAGGATTACGTTTCTCGTGTCCATTTACCTCGCTTTCTTCATCTCTTTCAGTTTCTTTCTTCCTAATTCAGGTCCACCATTTCTGGTTTATTCCATAAGTATCTGGCTATCGACAGCCACATCCCTCCACCACCATGTCTTGGTAGTTTTTTAACACCACACGTTCCTCCTGGTCCAGAAAGAGTAGAGCGATTGGGCTGAGAGCTGTAGGGACGCAGCATGGTCGCGGCACGGCTCCGTTTACAGAGCTGACTAGCGTCTGCACCATGGCATGGCTTGATGAATTCATATGGTCAGCCAGTGGGAAGCGGCACTCTCCGAGGCAAAAGAAAGCATCGTAACCAGATGGAGCTATGATCCATTTATTCCAGCCGACATCTTTGAAGTCCACGTACAGCGGGTGCCGACGACAACGAGCGCGGGAGAGTCTTTTGAGTTTTGCGGCCCTCCTGTTGTTTCGTTTCACTCGCCTTTCATTCCAGTCAGAGCCCTGACCCCTATCACCCTTAAACCTGGTCCATCTGCTCCTGCTTCGGCTGCTTTTACGCTTATTGAGATTCACAAAAGGCTCGCTGCGGCCATCGTGACTGTAGGTCACTAATAAAGGCCTTTGCCTTTCCCAAGTAGGCCCGTCCTGCAATGTGGATCTGCGTACTCGCAAATGTCTGTCTTTAGGAAGAGTACTGCTGCTGTTATTATCAGGAATAACATCCAGGATAAAAGACAGGCTTCCTGACGTCTTGGATAAATTCTGAAACACTTCTCTATCCAGGGGAAAGGTTTCCCAGAGTTGGGCACTCTTCCTGTCTCTGGTCAGTTGACGTGAATGGAGCAGAATGGGTTTTGATGAAGGGTCATGGTTGGAAAGGTAAAGACTGGCCACGTGAGAACCTCCACTTGACCCTTCATGGAGTAGACGTAACTCTGCGGACACCACACTTTCTTCTGAAGGAATGGAGGACAGGTTGAAGCCTATGTGGATGCCGTCCACTGTGGTCTTCTGCTCTTCTGGAAGACTCGGAGTCGGAGAATCTGAATGGAAAAAAGAAAGCTCTTAAGTTGTAAAATGCTTGCATTTCATCATGTTCACTGCAAAAAAATGTGTTTTATAATTAGAGCTTTTGCCTTTTTTCTAGTCTAAGTTAGAAAGGTCCGACCCTTCCTATCTGAACATGCAGCTCAACTCCTTGTTCAAGCTCTTGTTCTCTCCAGACTGGACTATTGCAACTCTCTACTAGCCGGGCTCCCAGCTAACTCTATCAAACCTCTTCAGATGCTTCAGAACGCAGCAGCACGAGTGGTCTTTAATGAAGCTGAAAGAGCACATGTCACTCCGCTGCTCATCCGTTTGCACTGGCTGCCAGTTGCTGCTCGCATCAAATTCGATGTTTGCTTACAAAGTGACTTCTGGTTTTCTCTTATCTGCTCTCACTTCTGCAGATGTATGCGCCCTCCAGTAACTTACATTCTGTGAATGAACCTCGCCTCAAGGTTCCATCTCAAAGAGGGAAGAAATCACTTTCCCGAACGCTCGCGTTCAATCTGCCCAGTTGGTGGAATGAACTCCCGAACTGCATCAGAACGGCAGAGTCACTCGCTGTCTTCAAGAAACGACTAAAAAATCAACTATTTAGTCTCCACTTCACTTCCTAATCTGCAATTGCCTCTCTGGTTCTACCGCTAACTCTTCTACAAAAAATAAAAAAGCTCTTATAGTTGTGTAAATTGCTTCCTTGTCCTCATTTGTAAGTCGCTTTGGATAAAAGCGTCTGCTAAATGACTCAATGTAAATGTACATCTAATCTAAAAATTCTTAAATCAAGAAGCATTTTCTAGACAATTAAAATATTGTCTTGTTTTCAGGAAAAGTTAAGTGAGATTTTTCTTAAAACAAACAAAATAATCTTGTGTCTCTCTTTATTTTGATGGTCCGTTTGTTGAATTTAAGTTACATTGCATCTAATTGCCAACTAATTCTCATTAGATCCAGTGTGCTCAATCCTGTTCCTGGAGATCGACCTTCCTGCAGATTTCAGTTGCAACCCTTATCAAACACACCTGCCTGTATTTATCAAGTGCTGTTCAAGTCCTAATTAATTGGTTCAGGTGTGTTGACCAGGGTTGGACCTGAACTTTGCAGGAAGGTAGATCTCCAAGAACAGGGTTGAGCAGCCCTACATTAGATTATCAGTAGACTCTTAGGTTGGAGTTAGGGTTAGTGCAAGTCAGGCATGTCCAAACTCAGTCCTGGAGGGCTGGTGTCCGGCTGAATTTAGCTCTAACTTGCTTCAAAACACCTGCAGGAAGTTTCTAGTATATCTACAAAGAGCTTGATTATCTGGTTCATGTGTGTTCGATTAGGGTTGGAGCTAAACTCTCCAGGACACCGGCCCTCCAGGACTGAGTTTGGACACCACTGGTGTAAGTTGACATTACACCAGTTAAATGTCTGTATTAACACATATTAAGCAGACAGTCTACTAATACTCAAATAGACCATCAAAATAAAGTGTTACCTAATCTTGTGTTTAGTTTAGAATATGATTATTTTGCTAACCCACTGGCAGATCATTTTGCTTGTTTGAAAGAAAAACTCGCTTAATTTTGGCTCGTTATTTCTGAAAAACATACAATCATCTTTAATTTACAAGAAAAAGCTTCTTGGTTTAAGAATATATATATATATATATATATATATATATATATATATATATATATATATATATATATATATATATATATATATATATATATATATATATATATATATATATATATATATATATATATATATATATATATATATATATATATATATATATATATATATATATATATATATATATATATATATATATATATATATATATATATATATATATATATATATATATATATATATATATATATATATATATATATATATATATATATATATATATATATATATATATATATATATATATATATATATATATATATATATATATATATATATATATATATATATATATATATATATATATATATATATATATATATATATATATATATATATATATATATATATATATATATATATATATATATATATATATATATATATATATATATATATATATA